CTGCCGATGCAACTACCGTTGAACTGATGGATGTGGCCAATATGGATCATCTTCCCTATCGCGAAGGTGCCAATTTTGACTCTCATAATCATGGAGATCATGAAGATCATGCCTCGCATGAAGATCACGATGAGCACGAAAAACACGCTGATCACGAAGAGCATGATGGTCATGATGATCATGATGAACACGCGGATCACGAGGATCACGGCGACCATAGTGAGCATGCGGATCACAAGGACCATGACGAACACGAAGAGCATGCTGAAGAGCATGACGAACATGAGCATGAAGGTGCTGAAAAGGAACATGCGCATTCCGAACACGCCCATGATAGTGAGCACGAGCACGAAAAACATGCGGATGCAGGCCATGCTGACGAACACGGTCATGATCACGAAGGCGCAATGGACCCGCATATCTGGCTGAACCCGGACAATGGCATTGCCATTGCCGCTGTCATGGCAGAAACTCTTGCCAAGACCGACCCGGACAATGCCGAAATCTACAAGAAGAATGCAGCCGCATTTGCAGAACGTATTGAAACGCTGGAAACGAAAATCGCAGAGACGCTAAAGCCTGTCGAAGGCAAGAAATTTGTCGTTTTCCATGACGCCTACCATCATTTCGAACATCACTTCGATTTCGAAGCAAGCGGCGCGATAACAATTTCGCCGGAAACCGTCGCCAGTGCCAGCAGGGTTGCCGAAATACAGGATCAGATCAAGGATCTGTCCGTGACCTGTGTTTTCCAGGAGCCGCAATTCGATGCGAAACTGGTCGATGTCGTCCTGGAGGGAAGCGATGCCCGCAAGGGAACACTCGATCCTCTCGGTACGGAACTAGACAACGGGGCGGACCTTTATCCTGAACTTCTGTCCAGCCTGTCAACCTCACTGAATTCCTGTCTTTCAGGCCAATCATGAGTAAATGAAAAAGCCGGGCGCGTTGCCCGGCGATTTCAGGTCTGGTCGTTCGATTTTTTCTCAGCTCGCGTTTCTGGCCTTTTCCCGCGCTGCCTCGGTCTTTCCGATCGCTTTCAGCAAGTGGCGGTCGCGGTCGTAGATGTCAGAGTAGTAGGCGATCCCGCTGCCTTCCTGCTCCGGCCATGCGGTGAAGTAGGAAACATAAACAGGAATATCGCCTGTTACCTGTTCCTGCTCGTTTTGCCCCTCGGCAATCCTCGACACCACGTAGTCCTTCGACTTTCCAAGGACAGCGGCGGCCATGCCTTGAGGGTCGTGCAACCTGATACAACCGTGGCTGAAGGCACGCACATCCTTGTTGAAGAGGTTTTTCGACGGCGTGTCGTGCATGTAAATATGATGCTCGTTCGGGAACAGGATTTTGACAGCGCCGAGAGCATTTGAACGGCCGGGATACTGACGTACATTGATGGATTGCTGTTTGGCGGCGACTGCATACCAGTCCACCGACGCCGAAGAGACCTTCCGCCCTCTTGGTGTCGTGACTTCGTATCCGGCGCGGTCGAGATAGGACGGGTCACGTGCGAGTTTCGGCAGCATTTCATTGACGATGATCGAGTATGGCACCCCCCAGTACGGGTTATACTCTACGACCTCGATCTGGTCGTAAAAGAAGTTTGTCTGGTTTGACTTTTTACCAACGACCACCCGCATGGACAGCGGGTCCTCACCCGGGGCTGTGTAGGTCGCAGTGAATGCAGCCTGGTTGATGAACACCTTGCGCGCGCCGAGTTCCTCCGGGATCCACCGGCTGCGCTCCATCGCAAGTTCCACCTTGGCGATCTTGGCAGCGTTGGTCTCTCCGACCAGGGCATTGATCGTGTTTTTTCCGACGATCCCGTCCGGCGTCAGGTCGGCCTCCTTCTGAAAGGCCTTAACAAGTGCAATCAATTCCGGGGAATAAAGATCGCTGTCATCGTAGGCTGAAAGTGTCTCGGCATGTGCAGTCAGCAGATCCTGCGATCCGTTTTTTGCAATCGCAGCGACAATATTCTTCATTTCCGGGCTGGATTTGCCGGCTTTCAGGAATGTCCCTGGTGCGATGACAATCTGCCCGGCATCCTCATCTTCCGATTTCAGCCGGTCCAGTTCTGCAGTCAGCTTGCGGAAATGCTCGTTCTGCGGCTGATGGCCAGCCAGTTCCTCCGGGACGTCTGCTGCTTTTGCAAGATCCGAGAGGGCGCCGACCAGATCAACATCGTGTCGCGGCAGATCATGGTATTGCGAAATTCTGTTAGGGTCGACCCGGCCGCGCGTTGCGTCCAGCACATAGGTCATCGCCGCCGCACTCAGTTCCATTTCAAACCGCATCAACGCAGCTTCTTTTTCAGCCGCGCCGAGACCTGAAACAGCTGGGGGCGCAACAAAATAATCTTCCGGGACGAGTGCGAATTTGCCAGTCGCCGCCATGGCCTTGCGCATCTGCTCGGCCTTGGGTGTTGCTTGTCCGTCTTTCACCCAGACAAAATCGGGATGTTCCCTGTAATAGGCGATCAACGCTTCTCCGACTTCCGGCAAAACAGTCAGGGACAGTTCCTTGAGTGCCGGGCGTGCGCGGTCGAAGTTCGTAAGCACGACGGGTTCGACCGGAACAATGTCTCTTTCCACCGTTGCCGTGTCGGCAGGCTCGAGGTTCGCGTCTGCCGGCTTGATCTCTGCGGTTTTCTTTTCAGAAAGCGGTGCGAGCGAAACAACTTTCCACTTGTCGGGTGTGTAGTTGAGATAGCGTGGTGCGGACACTTTCACCGTAGCGGCCTTTTTACGCAGCTGCTCCTGCTTCTGGCGTTCCTGCTGCCTGCGATGATTTTCAGGATTGAACAGGCGCTGAAACAGTCCCTGAGCGGCGGCGTGTTCGGTGCTTGCGACACCGAACCCCGTTGCAAGCACCGACGCCATGAGACAGGCCTTGATCGAGTTTTTCATCGCGGTTCGGAAGCGGTTTCCAGTGTCCGTTTCATGGAACCCGTTCACGCGCACGTCTTGTTTCATATCGCTTGCCTGCATTGCCTAAACCCACAAGTCAAAAGTCGGCCTGATGTCAGATCCGTTGCCCATTCAGCCGGACAACACACCCTCACTGCCGTCAAGAAATCGCCCGGAAGACCGTCCTTCCGCACCTTCTTCTTGCATCGGTTTCCGGCTCAACTCCGCACATCTTTGCTGGAACTGTGACGCGAAACGCAAGAAGCAAACTGGTTAATACTATAACAGGCTTGATCAGGGGGTTAAGGGCAAGCGTCATTCACACCTTTTAAATTCAATTCAGTGTGACGATTTTGTCTCTAAGAGAATATCCCCTGTGTTCGGTAGATCATTTTTTTAAATTGTATGAATAACTTAGTGCTAACAAAAAAGCTCTCACCCGTGATGTTCATCACGGCCACACGGCGCCGTTAAAACTAGGAACGTGAGTACAAAACCGAACATTATTATCCGGAGCGCAGCGAATGCCGTTTCAATTCAACATCGGGGATCACGTTTCGCCCCAAGCCGGATTCGTTGAATTCAGCGCGCCACAACACGACCAGTTGAAATGGTGCCGGAGCAAATTGTTCAAGATGGTCGCCGGAAACCTGAGCTGCGACGACTATTTCCGCTCACTGCCGAACAGCAGAACGCTCACCGACCTGATAAACGACAGCAGCATCTGGGTGAATTACGGGCCGGGTATCGCAACACCGTTCTACGGCAAAACGTATTCTGCCTCCGGCGAAATAGGTATTGCGGACAGCGCTTTCAGGATGGGCCGCTGGACTGTCCTTGCAACGATCATCCATGAGCTTGCCCACGTAAATGGTGCGCCCGGTCGGGGTGGAGATACGCGCGCTGAGGAGGCGGTCTATCATTGCGGGCTGGGAACTTCAGACGCGTATTACGGTCTCGACGAGGTTCCTGGAACACCCTGCTATTCGGAATACGGAGACTGAAAACAATGTGCCGCCCGGAGCCATCTGACCGAAGGCTCCAGGCCGAAAACATGCCCTAGAACGGGATTTCGTCGTCCATCGGACCGGCACCACCGCCACCGGATCCGCCAAATCCGCCGCCACCGGAACCGCCGCCATGGCCGCCACCGCCGAAACTTCCGCCGCCGCCGCCGCCCTGGGATTCATTGCCGTAATCAGGAAGGCCGCCGGACTGACCGCCTTCGCCACGCCCGTCGAGCATCGTCAGATTCGAATTGAATCCCTGCAGCACGACCTCGGTTGAATAACGGTCCTGACCGGACTGGTCCTGCCACTTGCGCGTCTGGAGCTGACCTTCCAGGTAGATCTTGGAGCCCTTGCGCAGGTATTGCTCTGCGACCTTGCAAAGGCCCTCATTGAAGATGACCACGCGATGCCATTCGGTTTTCTCCCGGCGCTCGCCGCTGTTTCGGTCCCGCCAGGATTCAGATGTGGCAATACGCAGGTTGGCGATAGGCCTGCCATCCTGTGTCCGGCGAATTTCCGGATCAGCACCCAAGTTGCCGACCAAAATGACTTTGTTGACGCTACCCGCCATCCTGCACTCCTGTTTGTTCTCGCAGCTATTCCGGTTCCGCGATTGTTTCCGGAACTTGTTTTAACGGAACCATTCTGCCCGCCTTGGCGCTAGAAAGCAGAACCGTAGCGGCACTCCAACCGTTTCGCCCATGTTTTCGTTCACGTGCACCCATTTTCCACAAGGCAAAGGAATTGATGCGCATGAAATCGCGGAATTTTGTGCCGTTTGCGCAACCGACACCTCGTTCATCGTTCCACGCCACCTGAAAATCGAGATACAATGCCGTCGACAACCGTCTTTTTTCCGTTATATGTACTTGTTTTGTTCTTATCACTTCTATAAAAAAGTTGCAATCGAACTGAGCAAATATGCGTGTTTCCATCCGATGACCAATTCACCCGACTGGATGTTACGCGGTTAGCTGCTATATCGGGAAAATGACAGACGGGTTCGGGATCACCAACCCTCAATGCAGATAGACCAGCGGCAGGCGTTCGGCTTGCTGCATGTTTGGCAGGAAAATCAAGAATGTCGACAAATGACGGCACTCGCCCGGACGAGTCTCGAACTACGGATCCGACAAAAGTGATCAGCATTCGCGGCGCCAGAGAGCACAATCTCAAGGGGGTGGATCTTGATTTGCCGCGCGACCGCCTGATCGTCATGACCGGTCTGTCCGGATCGGGCAAGTCGTCTCTCGCCTTTGACACAATCTACGCCGAAGGGCAACGACGGTACGTGGAGAGCCTGTCGGCCTACGCAAGGCAGTTTCTGGAAATGATGCAGAAGCCGGATGTCGACCAGATCGACGGACTTTCGCCGGCAATTTCCATCGAACAGAAGACGACGTCGCGCAACCCCCGCTCGACCGTGGGGACCGTCACCGAAATCTATGACTACATGAGGCTTCTCTTTGCCCGTGTCGGCATCCCCTATTCGCCGGCCACCGGCCTGCCGATCGAAAGCCAGACGGTGAGTCAGATGGTCGACCGGGTCATGGAACTGGAGGAAGGCGCCCGCCTCTATCTGCTGGCACCCATGGTACGGGGACGCAAGGGAGAATATCGCAAAGAACTTGCCGAACTCATGAAAAAGGGGTTTCAGCGGGTCAAGATCGACGGAACGTTCCATGAAATTGCGGAAGCTCCTGCCCTCGACAAGAAGTACAAACACGATATCGATGTTGTCGTGGACCGCCTTGTCGTACGCGATGATATCTCAGGCCGGCTGGCAGACTCTCTTGAAACAGCCCTGAAACTTGCCGACGGTATCGCGATCGCCGAATTTGCAGACAAGACGGATGAAAAGGGCAATCCGGAACGTCTGATCTTTTCCGAAAAATTCGCATGTCCGGTATCCGGCTTTACGATATCCGAAATCGAACCGAGGCTGTTTTCGTTCAACAATCCGTTCGGTGCCTGTCCGACGTGCGACGGCCTGGGAACGACACTTGCCTTCGAAGAAGACCTTGTCGTCCCGGATCACTCGCTGTCATTGCGTGAAGGTGCGGTTCTGCCCTGGGCCAAGACGGGGTCCACCTCCCCATATTATGCACAGACCCTGGAAGCGCTTTGCAGCCATTTCAAGGTCACGATGTCGACGCCCTGGAAAGACCTGCCCGGAGAGGTTCAGGATGCGATCCTGCACGGAACCGGCAAGACACTTGTTGAATTTGTCTATGACGACGGCGTGCGCAGTTACCGCACTGAAAAGACCTTTGAGGGCGTGATCGGCAACATCGAACGTCGCTGGCGGGAAACGGAATCTTCCTGGGTCCGCGAAGAACTGGCCAGGTACCAGTCGGACCATGCCTGCCCGGCCTGTCGCGGTTTCCGTCTGAAACCGGAGGCCCTGGCCGTCAAGATCGCGGGAAAGCATATCGGTGAAGTGACCGAACACTCGATCCGGCATGCCAGGGACTGGTTCGATACGTTGCCCGACCAACTGAATGAAAAACAGTCGGAAATTGCCGGACGGATCCTCAAGGAAATCCGTGAGCGTTTGAAATTCCTAAACGATGTCGGCCTTGAGTATCTGACACTGTCCCGTTCTTCCGGGACGCTTTCAGGAGGAGAAAGCCAGCGCATCCGCCTTGCGTCGCAGATTGGGTCCGGTCTGACGGGTGTCCTTTATGTCCTCGATGAACCTTCCATCGGCCTGCATCAGCGTGACAATGCCCGGCTTCTGGAAACACTTAAACATCTACGGGACCTCGGTAATACGGTCATCGTGGTCGAACATGACGAAGATGCTGTTCTGACTGCAGACTATGTCGTCGATGTCGGTCCGGGTGCCGGCGTGCACGGCGGTGAAGTGGTTGCGAAGGGCAGTCCTGCGGAAATCATGGCCAACACAAGGTCGTTGACCGGGGAATACCTTTCCGGAGCGAGAATGATTTCGCGCCCGGACGGCAGACGCAAGATCAACAAGAAACGGAAACTCTCTGTCCGCGGCGCACGAGGCAACAACCTCAAGGATATCGATGTCGATGTGCCTCTCGGCACATTCACCTGCGTCACCGGTGTCTCAGGTGGTGGCAAGTCGACATTCCTGATCGACACGCTCTACAAGGCTGCCGCCCGCCGTCTGAATGGCGCCAGAGACAATCCTGCCCCGCATGATCGTATTGAGGGGTTGGAAGTCCTGGATAAGGTAATCGATATCGATCAGTCGCCCATCGGGCGCACACCGCGCTCCAATCCGGCAACCTATACCGGTGCCTTTACACCGATCAGAGAGTGGTTTGCCGGCATGCCGGAGGCCAAGGCTCGAGGCTATCAGCCTGGGCGTTTTTCCTTCAACGTCAAGGGTGGACGTTGCGAAGCCTGCCAGGGTGACGGTGTCATCAAGATCGAAATGCACTTCCTGCCGGACGTTTATGTGACCTGCGACGTGTGCAAGGGCAAACGCTATAACCGGGAGACCCTGGAAGTCGAATTCAAGGGAAAATCCATTGCGGGCGTTCTCGACATGACCGTTGAGGAAGCCGCAGAATTCTTCGCAGCGGTTCCTGCTGTTCGTGACAAGATGAAAACGCTCGCGCGTGTCGGGCTCGGCTATATCAAGGTCGGTCAGCAGGCGACGACACTCTCCGGTGGCGAAGCTCAGCGTGTGAAGCTTGCCAAGGAACTGTCCAAACGGTCGACCGGGCGCACGCTATACATACTCGACGAACCGACGACGGGTCTTCATTTTCATGATGTCGCCAAACTTCTCGACGTTCTTCACGAACTTGTCGATCAGGGGAATTCGGTGCTGGTCATCGAGCACAATCTCGAAGTCATCAAGACCGCAGACTGGATAATCGATCTTGGTCCGGAAGGCGGTGATGGTGGCGGTGCCGTGGTCGCGACGGGTCGTCCGGAGGACGTGGCAGAGGTTCAGGCAAGTTACACAGGACAGTTCTTGAGCGAACTTTTGCAGCGCAGGCCGCAAAGAGCATCCGATGCTGCGGAATAGCCCAATGGGTTCCGCCTCTTGAATTTCTGTGCAACGCACCTAAATCTATAAAAGCATGCGACGTAAGCGATTTCCGGAATATGCCCTAACCATATCCCATGAAAATGCTGCATTGCATCAATTGCATGTCTGACATGCAAAGATGGCACTTCTTTTAATTCACTTGGTGAATTATATGTTTGATCAACAGAGACAAAGGCGCGGCATCGCCGTGTTGATCAAGGAATAACAAGATGTTTGACAATGTGCGTAGTAAGTACAGCAGCTGGGTAAGCTATCGTCGTGCGATCGACGAATTGTCCCGCCTGTCAGCACGTGAACTGCAGGATCTCGGCATTTCCCGGAGCGACATCAAGTTTGTCGCCCGCCGCGGATTGAGCAGCTAAAGAATACCAGATCGCGTCCAAGGGCATCCTCCTCCCAGCCTAAGGACGTGTGACACGCAGGGCATCCTCCTCCCAGCCCTGCCAGTCGAAACGACGCCCGCCAGTACCTCCTCCCACTGGCGGGCGTTCGTTTGTTCAGACACACGTTTCAAAGACATTCCCGAATAAAACAAGCACACACGGCATAGTCTTCGCATATGCGATACGGCGTCAGATCCTTGGCTATGTGTCAAACAATTCCTCTACCGTTAACTTCCTGTTGTCTTGCACTTTTTGCATATCAGAGTCGCAAAAAAATCACTTCTTCGCAGTGCACAATTTCCCTATATAGCGATTGTAAGAGATGAACGGGCCAGACGCCGATCCGCGGTGCCATGGCCATGAGATAGCGAAAGGCCTAAACCATGATCGATAACGTTGTACGCAAATTCAACAACTGGAAACGCTTCCGTCAGACCTATGGCGAACTTTCCAACCTGACCAACCGCGAACTGGACGACCTGGGCATTGCCCGCTCCGATATCGCCCGTTACGCACGTCAGTCTGTAAAATAATCAAGTTTGCGGTTCAGGGGCATCCTCCTCCCAGCTCCTGAACTGCAATCCCTCTGCGAACCTATCGCAGAGCAACCAAAAACGCTTGCCGGATCCTCCTCCCCCGGCAGGCGTTTTTTTTGATTCAAGAGACAATCCGGCAGCCAATTGTCCACCACATGTCTTGTCATAAAAACTGGCGTTGTTTTCGTCTTTGAACACATGAAGACGCGAATGCTGGATCTGTGCCGCAAGATGTTGCGGCAAACATCCAATCCCTGTAATCAGGGCACAAACTTATTGTCTGGATGGTCTCACAGTTTGTCGCTGTTTGAGATGTCCGGCATCTGCCCCAAGGAATTATCATGACTGCGATCCACGTTATTGGCGGTGGCCTTGCCGGATCCGAGGCTGCCTGGCAGATCGCCGAGGCAGGGCTGGAGGTCGTACTGCATGAGATGCGACCGGTACGAAAGACCGACGCCCACCAGACAGAAGGTCTTGCCGAACTGGTCTGTTCCAACTCGTTCCGGTCAGACGATTCACAACAGAATGCGGTTGGACTGATTCATCATGAATTGCGCCAGCTCGGATCACTGATCATGGCTTCGGCCGATGCCCATCAGGTTCCTGCAGGCAGTGCACTCGCAGTCGATCGAGACGGATTTTCAAATGCGGTTACCGAGGCGTTGAATACGCATCCACGCATTCGGATCGAACGAGAGGAAATTGCCGGACTTCCGCCGGAAGACTGGGAAAAGGTAATCATTGCAACGGGTCCTCTGACTTCCCCGGCACTTTCTCAAGCCGTTCTGGAAAAATCGGGAGAGGACGCCCTCGCCTTCTTCGATGCCATTGCCCCGATTGTCCATTTCGACTCGGTCGATCTGAACAAGGCATGGTTCCAGTCCCGGTACGACAAGGTTGGTCCCGGAGGAACGGGCAAGGATTATCTCAATTGTCCGATGGACAAGGATCAATACGAAGCCTTCATAGACGCCTTGCTGGCGGGAGACTCTGCAGATTTCAAGGAATGGGAAGCCAACACGCCCTATTTCGATGGCTGCCTTCCAATTGAGGTCATGGCCTCCAGGGGACGGGAGACCCTACGACATGGCCCGATGAAACCGATGGGGCTGACAAACGCACACGATCCGGATGTCAAGGCATATGCGGTCGTTCAACTACGCCAGGACAACGCGCTCGGCACACTTTACAACATGGTCGGTTTTCAGACCAAACTGAAATATGGCGCGCAAGCGGACATCTTCCGCATGATTCCCGGGCTCGAAAGTGCCCAGTTTGCGCGGTTGGGCGGACTTCATCGCAATACGTTCCTGAACTCGCCAAAAGTGCTCGACAACACGTTGCGCCTGAAATCGGATCCGCGCTTGCGGTTCGCCGGTCAAATCACCGGCTGCGAAGGGTATGTGGAATCTGCCAGTGTCGGCTGTCTGGCCGGACTTTTCGCGGTCATGGACGTTCGCGACCAGGCCATCGTTGCGCCACCGGAGACGACGGCCATGGGGGCCCTGCTTGGCCATATCACCGGCGGACACATCCTGCGCGAGGACGGTGCCGGAAAACCAAAATCCTTCCAGCCAATGAACGTCAATTTCGGGTTATTCCCCCCTATCGAGGCACCGACACGGGATGAAGAAGGCAAACGGTTCAAAGGCAAGGAAAAGGCAAAGGCCAAGAAGCTAGCGATGACCAATCGCGCGAAAGCGGATTTTGCTGACTGGATGTCCGGACTTGGGCTCAAGAAGTTGGCAGCTGAATAACGTAAATTCAGACAAGCCAGATATTTGTCTGCCTCAAAGACGCAGCAGGGGTTTCGTGGAGGCACGCCACAATATCCACTGTCGCCTGAGCTGAGATATCTCGGCAATTTCCTGCAAGGGGTCGAAATCCGGAGCTTCAAGTTTTTTCAGGAATGGTTCCACCAGCACCAGTGGCAGGAAGGCGTTGCTGCACTCTTCGGGAATAGTGTCGGCAACCTGTCTCACACGTTTCAGGTGATGCCGAACGTGTTCACCCAGTTCCCTGAGAACGGATCTCAATTGCGGTGAAATTTTTCCCTGAAAAACACTTTCCGGATCAAGACCATGCCTGGAAACAATATCGTTGGGCAAAAACATCTGTCGACGCGACGCGTGCCACGGCAAGGCGCGCATCAGACCCGTCAGACCATAGGCGACACCGGCATGTCCGGCCGCGGTGGCAGTTCCCGGATCCCTGCCATTGTTGAGAACAAGACAGGCAAGCTGGATCAAACCGGAAACCGTTTCACCGAGATATCCTTCCAGATCATTCAGGCTCGGCATCGGATCATCATAGAGATCGAAAATTCTTGCCTCTGTCATCGCCAAAAGCCCCGGGCGCGGCAATCTGTACGTCGCGATCGTCTGTGTGAGCGTATTGGCGACCGGATTGGATGCTACGGCTCCGTGCTCCGTTCCCTCCAGCAGATCACGCCACCACTGCAGGCGCACTTCACCGGGCAATGGCTCCGACACGACTTCGCGAATGCGCGCAATTTCCGCATTGAATGCATAAAGCGCCATCAAACCCGGTCTTTGCGCCTCCGGAGCCAGCAACGTCGCGAGATAACGGTCCCTGTCGTACTGGCGAACAATATCGGCGGCATAATCATCGTCGGTGGTCATAGGCGCCCATATGGTTTGAAAACCGGATCAGTCTACCGCCAATAAAGCCGCTGCCACTGCCCGGTCCTCGGACAGGAGAACATTGAATGTCCGAACTGCCGCTCCCGTTGACATGGGGTCTGCCAGGATTTCGACTTCGCGGAACCGGAATTTCAGGTCCGCCGGAAGCGGACGCAAATCCTTGCCGGTTCCCACGAGCAGCACCTCGATGTCTGCATGTTCTTCGAAGACACGCTGGAAAGCTTCATCGCTGAATTCGGCCGGATCACCTATGTTCCAGCCATAGATCCCACTGGGGACGCATAACAGCGACCCCAGGTGGGACATGTTCGCAAATCTGAAGCCACCGTCGCCGTAGGCATCAATTGGCGCCCTGCCGGGAAAATGAGCTTTCCGGATTTCCATCTGGAAAGATCCTTAAACAGTCGCGTTCGCCTTGGCTTCCTTTTCATCATCGCCATCATTTCGGGACAACGCGTCCGGACGAAGGTTGAGCAGGATAAGCAAAGGAGCTGCCAGGAAGATCGACGAGTAGGTTCCAATCACGATGCCGAAGATCATCGCGAGCGTGAACGACTGAATGACCTCTCCGCCGAAAACATAGAGCGCAATCAGGGCCAGGAGTGTCGTGACAGATGTCATCGTTGTGCGCGACAGGGTCTCGTTGATGGACTGATCCAGAATGTCCGCCAGCGGCCGTTTCTTGTATTTGCGCAAGTTTTCCCTGATGCGGTCGTAGACGACCACGGTGTCGTTGAGTGAATACCCGATAATCGTCAGAACAGCGGCGATGCTGGAGAGAGAAAAGTCGAGCTGAAGCAGAACGAACAGTCCCACTGTGATCACGACGTCGTTTGCCGTCGTCAGGATCGCCCCAACAGCGAACTGCCACTCAAAGCGGAACCAGATGTAGATCAGGATGGCAAAAAGCGCGGCACCCACAGCAATCGCGCCGGCCTGCGCCAATTCACCCGATACCCTGGGCCCGACAACTTCAACGCGGCGGAAGTCTACGTTGTCATCAGCAAATATTGTCCGGACACGTTGAACCACCGATTGCTGCGCGAGTTCGCCGCCTGGCTGTTCCTCCACACGGATCAAGATATCGTCTGATGCACCGAATTCCTGAACCTGAACATCACCGAGATTGAGGGCAGACAATTCGGAACGGATGGCACCGATATCGGCAGGCCCATCAGTCTTGATCTCGATGATGGTCCCGCCCTTGAAGTCGATCCCGTAGTTCATACCAACGGTGAAAAAGCCTGCAAGCGAAGCGATTACAAGGAGTATGGACAGCGGGAAGCTGAATTTCCGCAACCACATGAACTTGATGTGGGTGTTGTCCGGAACGAGTCTTAATAGCATTTCTTATTTCTCCCGGATCAGATCGGCAACGCGGATGGACGACGGCGGCGTATCCAGAGAGCCACCAGCAACCGGCTGAACGTGAATGCCGAGAAAACTGTCGTGAAAATGCCGATCGCAAGCGTGACGGCAAATCCGCGAACCGGTCCGGATCCAAGTTGGAAAAGGATCACGGCCGCTATGAGCGTGGTGATATTGGCATCAAGAATTGTACCGAGCGCACGGCTGTAGCCGGCATCAATCGCCGAGATCACCGAGCGACCAGCCCTCGATTCCTCGCGTATTCGCTCGAAGATCAGCACGTTTGCATCCACCGCCATGCCGATCGTCAGGACGATACCGGCAATTCCCGGAAGGGTGAGTGTCGCCTGAAGGACCGTCAACGCACCGAAAATCAAGAAAATGTTGGTGGCAAGCGCCAGGTCGGCAATGACGCCGAACCGTCCATAGGCAAGGATCATGAATACGATCACAGCTGCACCTGCAATGATCGATGCCAGTTTACCAGCTTCGATCGAGTCGGCTCCGAGGCCAGGTCCGATCGACCGTTCCTCAATCACCGTCAATTGTGCAGGCAGCGCGCCGGCACGCAGCAGTATTGCGAGATCATTCGCACCTTCGACGGTAAAGTTACCGGAAATCTGACCGGACCCACCCAGGATCGGCTCTCTGATCACGGGCGCCGAGATGACTTCATCGTCCAGGAGAATTGCAAAGGGGAAATTGACGTTTTCTGTCGTGACCCGTGCAAATTCCCGAGCCCCCGACTGGTTGAAGCGGAAGGTCACAACCGGTTCGTTGGTATTCTGGCCGAAGGCAACCTGTGCGTCGACAAGGTCTTCCCCACCCAACAAGGGTTTGGTTTGCAGGAGATAGGGAATGGGAGGATCGTCAACTGACATGAACACCGAGGTACCCACCGGTGGGCGGCTCTGAAGCGCCTGTTCACCTGTCATGTTTCTGTCGACCAGATGGAATGTCAGCTTCGCGGTTTCACCGATAAGATCCTTGAGGCGTTCAGGATCTCCCTCACCCGGCGCTTCCACCAGGATCCGGTCTGTCCCCTGCCGTTGAATATTCGGCTCGGTCGTGCCGAGCTCGTCAACACGTTTGCGGATGACTTCGATGGATTGCTGGACGATCGACTGAAGCCTGTTGTCCAGGCCTGCTTCTGAATAGGTAAACCGGACCAGTCCATTGTCATCGACACTCAAATCGAACTCGTCGACCGGCTGACCTCCGAACAAGCTGGAAACAAGAGGATTTACCAGTGGCGAAAGGCGCTCCCTTGCCTCATCCAGGCGTGTCAGATCCCGAATTCTGACCTGCGCGGACTCCGGTCGAGCGTCCAGGCCTGTATAGCCAATTCTCGGGTTTTCCCGCAGAACGTCCCGAATTTCGCCTTCAAGTGCCTTAAAACGATCTTCGATGTATTTTTTCTGATCCACTTCATAGAGCAGATAAGCGCCACCCTGCAGATCGAGCCCAAGAACCATCTGGTTCTTCGGCAGGAAGTCCGGCCAGCTCTCGAGTTGTTTGGCGGTAAAGAAATTCGGCAGCGTCGTGAGAATACCTGCGGCAACCACAAGCACGATCAGCACGATTTTCCAGCGAGCGAAATGAAGCATGACAGAGCCTTAAAAACAGCCAGGCCGATAACGCGCCGGCCTGGCAACAAGATCGATACGGTACCGTTGCACCTCAGGAATTGTCTTTGGCCGGCTCGGACTTGGAGCGTACTTCCTGAATCATGGATCGCACAACGCGGACCTTGATGCCTTCAGACAGTTCGACCTGCAATTCACTATCGTCTACCACCTTCGCGACTTTGCCGATAAGTCCGCCGGTGGTCACAATGGTGTCACCGCGACGCAGGTTGGCAACCATCTCCTGGTGTTGTTTCATGCGCTGTCTTTGCGGCCGTATGATCAGGAAATACATGATCGCGAAAATGGCCACGAAGGGCAGGATCTGAATCAGGAATCCCGGACCCATGGCTCCGGCGGACTGCGCATACGCTGGGGTGATCAACATTCAACTCTCCTAAGGGGCGTCTTTCAGCCGGCGTTCCGCTTGGAACGCTGACAAAACGCTCTGAATTCTGGTCGCGCGGACTATAACGGCGGCGCGCCTCATTTCAAGCGTTGCAAGCCGATTCCGGCGTACCGGTATGGGAATAACTGGCGTTTTCGCGCTACCTGCCCCATGCTACTGCTCTCGCAACACGTTTCAGGCTCTCAAATGGGCCTTTTTGACTGGGGTTGCAAGAATTATGAGTGCGCAAAACGACCTTGCCGCATTGAACGCCAAACTCGATTCCCTGATTGAACTCGTCAGCCGCGCCGTACCGGCCAGTGCGAAGGAGCCTGACTGGTCTGCCGCCGAGGCCTTTGTCTGGATTCCCGAGCCGGGCGACCTGCACGCGGTGGAGAAAGTAAACCGTGTCGATATTGCACTGCTGTGTGCCGTTTCCCATGTTCGGGACCTGTTGCTCGACAACACCAGACGTTTCGCGGACGGGCTCCCGGCCAACAATGCCCTTTTGTGGGGCGCGCGCGGCATGGGTAAATCGTCATTGGTGAAGGCTGCGCATGCGGCGATCAACCGGGAAGACGATTCGAGCAGTCTGAAACTTATTGAAATACACCGGGAAGACATCGAATCGTTGCCGAAGCTCATGGCCCTGATCCGCTCCGCACCTTTCCGGTTCATCATCTTTTGCGACGATCTCAGTTTTGACAATGATGATACATCCTACAAGTCGCTCAAGGCTGTTCTGGAAGGCGGCATCGAAGGACGTCCGGAAAACGTCATTTTCTATGCAACATCAAACCGTCGACATTTGTTGCCCCGCGACATGATCGAGAACGAACGCTCGACCGCGATCAATCCGGCAGAAGCGGTTGAGGAAAAAGTCTCCCTGTCCGACCGTTTCGGTCTCTGGCTCGGCTTTCACAAATGCAGCCAGGATGACTATCTCGACATGGTGCGCGGGTATGCCGCTCACTACGGACTGGAAATTCCCGAAGATGACATGCGCTCGCAGGCGCTGGAATGGTCCACGACCCGCGGCAGCCGCTCAGGACGGGTCGCCTATCAGTACATACAGGATCTTGCCGGCCGTCTCGGCAAGGCTCTGACATGAAAAAACCCGGCATTGCCGGGCTTTTTCTCGTGTGTGACGCAAGACCTAGCGCTGTGGCAGATGCTTCAGCGGATCGACTGGCTTGTTGCCCCTGCGCAGTTCGAAGTGCACCTGGGGCTGGTTGACCGAACCCGTAGCACCGGCAAGACCCACCACGTCGCCGCGCCGGATCGTGTCGCCGCGCTTGACTTTCAGTTCGCTGTTATGCGCGTAAGCCGAAACCCAGCCTTCGCTATGCCTGACCAGAACGAGATTGCCGTAGCCTTTAAGCTCATTGCCCGAGTAGATCACGGTGCCATCATCGGCGGCCTTGACCGGAGTGCCTTCCGGCACAGCAAGGTTCACGCCCTCGTTCTTGCCTCCGCCGGGTTTGGAGCCGAAGTCGGAGATGATCCGGCCACGCACCGGCCAACGGAATTTTTCGCTGGAAACGTCGGCATCCTGCTTGAGGCTTGCGACGGTCGGCGTTTTGATCGGTTCTGTCGGCCGCGGTTCTTGAGTCAAGGCAGGTTGCGGAAGCGAAACCTTTTGGACCGGTGCCGTCGGCGTAGCAGCTACCTGTTTCCTGGAGTCCGTTGAAATCGATGCAGTCGTGACCGGGCGCCCCGAAGCGGCGGGTTTGCGTTTCGGTAGCGTACTGACACGAATGACGTCAACGTCCTCGACGATGGTTTCCGTGGTGCTTATCTGCGTGAATGTCGGCTGCCTGAACGGTTTGCGATCCGGTCGAGGGGCCGCTCCCGAATTTGTAGAGACCGAACCGGTGACAACAGTTTCGTTCCTGCTGACCTTCGGCAATTTGACCTTGCCGCTCTCACCTTCGGTAGCGCTCGCAAGACCGTTTCGATCGGAATAGACATAAGTCGGTATGACGATGCTCTGACCAGGACGAACCTGATCGGCATTGTCTATCCCGTTGACGGAAGCAAGCGCTTGAACCGGCACGCCATAGCGCCGAGCGATCGAATTCAGGTTGTCACCCTGGCGAACATTGACCCTGGTTCCGCCGGCCGAAGTCCAGCCTTTCCAGCTTTTTGCGTTTGTTGCGTTAACTGTTTCAGGTGCCGGAGCCGTGGCAACCGGAGCGGCCTGTACAGGCGCTGGCTGCACGACGGCAGACTGTGTCGGCGCCGGCAGCGGTGCTGACTGGATGTCCGAAGACTTTTTGGGAATTGATCCGGTCGTCACTGGCGCTGTGCTTGCCTGCGGAAGCCCTGCGGTGGTTCCGCCAGGCCCATTGGCAATGTCCTGATAGGTCGGCTGCTTTGGCGCGCCGTTCAGGATCTCACGCTGGTTTTCCGTGTTTCCCGTATAATACGGAGGTTCTCCAAAACGCTCAACCGCACTGGAACAACCTGCAAGGGATACCGCGATCAAAGATATTGTGGCCGCTTTTCCCAGTAGATCCCCGCGGAGGGTACGCATCCGCTTTTTCATCGCCTTAACTCATAACGCTAACTGTGGCTGCTATGGTTAAGAGTAGACGCCAGTAAGGTTTATAAAGACTAAAGACACCGGGCGATTGCGGCAAAACCCGCCAATTTCTTTGACTTTTTTGATTCAACAATGTGCCCGGTGTGGGAGATTATAGTAAATCGGGCACCGAATCCTCCCCGAGATTCGCACTCCTGACTGCGAGTTCGATGATACGATCCGCGGCTAGAGTCGCTGTGCGACCCCCGGTTGAAGCATGACGGTTCTGACGGGCATCAAGGTTTCCGCCGTCATCACACTTTCCGTCTTCACAAACCTGATCAATGACTGGGGCTGCATGGATTGACCGACAGGTGCGATCAGAATACCACCCGGCTTGAGTTGCTGGACCCAGTTGTCAGGAACCGAGGGTATAGCGGCGGTCACAATGATACGATCGAAGGGGCCTTTTTGTTTCAAACCTTCGAACCCGTCGCCTTGCCGAGCTGTTACGTTATCAAGTTTCAAAGCCGCAAACCGTCGTCTTGCAAGGTCGGCAAGCGTGGCAAACCGATCGACGGTCTCCACTCTCTCCGTCAAATGCGCCAAAACTGCAGACTGGTATCCTGAGCCTGTGCCTATTTCGAGAAGGGCATGCTCAGGAGACACGTCCAAAGCCTGCGCGGTGAATGCAACAAGCGATGGAGAGGAGACGGTTTGTCCGCATTCAATCGGAAGAGTCACGTCTTCATAGGCGAGGCTGTGGTGCCGCGCAGGCAGGAAGAGGCGCCTTGGAACGCGCTCGATAGCCGAAAGAACGTCCCGGGCTCCAACACCCTGTCGGCGCAACGAAAGCACCAGCGCTGCGCGCGCCTCCGCCTCATCCGGCAAAGCGGATGACCGCATCGTCTGTTCTTCGCCAGGCGGCGTTCCCGCCATGCGCTCTTCCTCTCTGCGGACTTTAGGCCAGTGCCTCGGCAAGGTGACCGACCAGATCATGCGCCGTCAAATCTATGCGTAGCGGTGAAACGGATACATAGCCATCGCCAATTGCCTGCAGATCGGAATTATCAAGAACGGATTTGCCCCGCTCGCGGAACCGAAGCCAGTAGTAAGGATAGCCACGTCCATCCTGACGTTCGTCAATGGAAAGTCCGCTTTGTTCGTGATGCCCCTGAACAGTGACTTTCAAGCCCTTGACCGCTTCCGGTGCACAGGCCGGGAAATTCACGTTCAGCAGCGTGTATGGCGGCAGTTGAAAATCAATGAGCCTGGTGAACAATTCCGGTGCATGAGTTTCTGCGATAGAAAAGTTCGGTTCCGCTTTCACGTCCCAGTCATATGCCTGGGATACGGCAATTGAGCGTATGCCGAGAATTGCGCCTTCGATCGCACCTGCCACGGTTCCTGAATAGGTGACGTCTTCGGCCAGGTTCTGCCCGCGGTTGATGCCGGACAGGACCAGGTCGGGCCGTTCCGGCAAAATCTTGTGTACACCCATGATGACACAATCGGTAGGGGTACCCTTGATGGCGAAATGCCGATCGTCGAGCGCTCTGGAGCGAAGCGGATCGCTCAGTGTCAACGAATGCGCAACTCCGCTCTGATCCGTTTCTGGTGCAATCACCCAGACATCGTCTGAAATCGTCCGTGCAATGCGCTCCAGAGACGTCAGCCCCGGCGAGTGAATGCCATCGTCATTCGTTATCAGGATGCGCATGTGAAAGTCTCTCCATTTGCATTCAAATCAAGAAAAATCCCATCCTTCGATTTTCCGTCTGAAGATGGGACGATCCCGGGCGGCGGCCTTTGTGAATCTACCGCCAGGGTCATTATTCATTCACGCAAATGATCGATCGGATCAGGACGACCCGACCTCTCCTGTCATCCGATCTTTTCCAGGCCACCCAAATAGGGGCGCAGGACTTCCGGCACCGAAATGCTGCCATCGCCGTTCTGATAGTTTTCCAGAACCGCAATCAGCGCACGGCCGACGGCGATACCCGAGCCATTGAGCGTGTGCACGTGCACCGGATGTTTGCTGTCCGCCGGCCGGAAGCGCGTATTCATTCGGCGGGCCTGGAAATCGCCACAGACCGAACAGGACGAGATCTCACGGTAGGCGTCCTGACCCGGCAACCAGACTTCAATGTCATAGGTCTTGCGTGCCCCGAACCCCATGTCGCCCGTGCAAAGGGTCATCACACGATAGTGCAATCCCAACTTCTGCAGGACCTTTTCGGCGCAGGCCAGCATGCGGTCGAGTTCTTCGAGCGATTGATCGGGTGCTGTGACCGACACAAGCTCACATTTCTGGAACTGGTGCTGACGCAACATGCCACGTGTATCTCGGCCTGCAGAACCTGCCTCGGAACGGAAACAGTAAGTCAGTGCCGTGACACGGAGCGGTAGCGTATCCTCCGGGACAATCTGGCCAGCGACAAGATTGGTCAAAGGAACTTCGGCCGTCGGGATCAGATAATGTCCCGTCGTCGTTTTGAAGAGATCCTCTTCAAATTTAGGCAACTGGCTTGTGCCATAAAGTGGCGCGTCGTGCACCAGAAGAGGTGGCGACACTTCCGTGTAGCCGTTCTCCTGCGTGTGCAGGTCGATCATGAACTGGCCGAGTGCACGCTCCAGCCGCGCGACCTGCCCTTTCAGAACGACAAAGCGCGATCCGGACAGTTTGGCAGCCGTGGTGAAATCCATGTCACCGAGAGTTTCACCAAGTTCAAAATGCTCTTTCGGCCGTTCATTGAACGTGAATTGCGGCTTTTCGCCATGGGCCCTCAGGAGCACATTGTCATTTTCATCCTCCCCCTCCGGCACGTCGTCATGCGGCAGGTTCGGAATAACGGCCATTTCCGCTTCCAGATTCGAATTCAGCCGACGCTCTTCTTCCTCACCCGACTGGATGAACGCCTTGATCTGGGCTACCTCGTCAATGAGTTCCTGTGCCCGGGCGTCGTCTCCCGAACCCTTGGCCTTGCCGATTTCCTTGGAGGCAGAATTCCGCCGTTCCTGTGCTTCTTGAAGCTTGGTGATGTGAGAGCGACGGGAATCGTCCAGCGCTATCAGCCTGGCCGCGGAAGCTTCAAATCCCCGCTTTGCCAAGGCCTGATCAAAGGCGTCTGCATGTTCCCGAATCCACTTTATATCAAACATCTTCGCTTCCCGAACGACGGTCGTTGTCAACACATTCCGTCCGGCAAACTGATCAACGTCAGCTATACGTGGTCAGGCCGTAGCGTCTTCGGCTTCGCGTTCAGCTTCCCGCTGCGCGCGTTGGCGTTCCACCAGCCTTACGGACAGAATGGAGACTTCGTAGAGAAGCAACGTTGGGAGCGCAAGACCGATCTGCGAGATCGGATCGGGGGGTGTCAAAATTGCAGCAGCCGCGAAGGCGCCCACAATTGCGTATTTGCGCTTCTTTTTGAGGTCTTCAGACGAAACCAGACCTGCCCGCCCCATCAGTGTCAGCACCACAGGCAACTGAAACACCAGGCCGAACGCAAAGATCAGGACCATGATCAGGCCGAGATATTCGCTGACCTTGGCCAAATGCTGAATGGCGACCTGCCCTGCCCCGGCCAGCTGTTCCTGTGACAGAAAGAATCCCATCGCCATCGGCATAACCAGGAAATAAACCAGACATGCACCAATGAGAAACAAAATAGGTGTTGCGATCAGAAACGGCAGAAATGCGCCACGTTCGTTTTTGTAGAGGCCTGGCGCAACAAACATGTAGATTTGACTGGCCACAACGGGAAACGCCAGAAACAGTGCCCCGAACAAAGCAAGCTTCAATTGCGTAAAGAACCATTCCTGCGGTGCAGTAAAGATCATCTCCACTGGATGGCCTTCGCCGACGGCACGCAGATACGGGATCGTCAGGATATTGTAGATGTCCGTTGCAAAGTAGAAACAGATTACAAACATCACCAGGATTGCGGCTATCGACCACATCAGCCGCTGACGTAATTCGATCAGGTGTTCGATCAGAGGCGCCTTGGAGGCTTCGATATCATCCTGGCTCATGCCTTAACGTCTTCCGTCACCGGTTTCCTGTCCGGATTGTCCGCAGGTTCTGCTGCGGCAACCGCTTCTGGTTGCTCGGCGTCCCCTTTTGCGGGCTCAGCCGGCGCTATCTCTTCAACGGCGGTCTCTGACTGGGCGGATGGAGGCTTTGTGGTCATCGGTTTCGATGCCTTTTGGGCCGCATCTTCCTCAATCGACTTTTTGAGATCACCAAGTGGATTGAAGTTCGCTACGTCTTCGACCTGCTTCTTCATGTCGGCAATGTCGGCTTGCTGCTCAGCTTCGCGCAAAGCATCATTGAACGTCGACTGGAACTCGCGCGACATTCGCCGTGCCTTTCCGATCGTCTGTCCAAGTGTGCGCAACATGCGCGGAAGGTCTTTTGGCCCTACAACGATGATCGCCACACAGGCAATCACCATGAGTTCGGTCCAGCCGATATCGAACATGAGATATACCGTCCCTTAAGGAGACGCGATGCAGATTGAGATCAGCTCGCCTTGGTCTGATCTTCAGCTTTCGCAGACTGTGCTGGTTCGCCGGCCTGATGATCGATGGTCTTCGGGGCGTCGGCAGTGTCGTCTTCTGCCATGCCTTTCTTGAAGCTTTTGATCCCCTTCGCAACATCACCCATCAGTTCGGAAATCTTGCCACGTCCGAACAGCAGAACCACCACAACTGCGATGATCAATATCTGCCAAATACTAATGCCCATACGCCAAACTCCTGATAATTGGCTTTAAAGCCCTACGGCCCTTGTACAAAAACGGACCTGACCCTGCAACATACACCTTAAGAACATTTTCCGCTCTTAGACAGAATGATGAAATAGGGCCGGTTTTGTGTCCTAGACTTGGGACTCCCCGCGCGAAAAAACAAGCACGTCCTTCGGATCCGTCTCCACCGAAACATTCATTCCGGCTTCCCATGAGCTACCGGCACGAACCCTTGCCTGCAACGGATGGTCGAGTCCATCGATCACGACAGACAAGAGTTCGACCTCGCCGACGAATCGTTTTGTGAGAATTCGACCGGGTACACCACACAACCCCGCCTTGTTCAAACAGATCCCCTGGGGCCGGATGCAAACGTCGACCTTTCCATTGGTCTCCGCACATTCGGATTTTACAACACCGAGCGGAGTTTCGACACCCGTCACGGTGACCTGCCCTTCTATCTGGTTCAATTCCGAGAAAAAGCGAGCCGCAAAGAGATCAACCGGGTCGTTATACAATTGTGCAGCCGTTCCGAGTTGAACCAGTCGCCCCCGGCGCATCAGGGCAATCCGGTCGCCCATGCGCATCGCTTCTTCCGGATCGTGGGTCACGATGATGCATGTTGCCCGTGTTTCCCGGATGACGGCCAGCGTCTGGTCCCGAACGCTGTCTCGCAAGCGCTTGTCCAGACCCGAGAACGGTTCATCCATAAGCAGAATTCCCGGTCGCGGGACCAGGGCACGTGCCAGCGCAACCCGCTGCTGTTCACCACCCGATAGGGAGTGAGGATAATCGCCGGCATAGTCGGACAAGCCAACCCGCCCCAACGCTGCAAGCGCAGCGGCCTGCGCCTCCTTGTTCGGAAGCCCCGTCAAGCCAAACATCACATTGGCAAGAATGGTCATGTGGGGGAAAAGAGCGTAGTCCTGGAACATGAGGCCCACGCCTCGCCGTTCAGGCGGAAGAAAGAAACTGTCTCCGGAAACTTCACGTCCGTTGATGAGAACCTTGCCGTGGCTCTGTCTTTCAACACCTGCAGCAATGCGCATCAACGTGGTCTTGCCGCAGCCCGAATGTCCAAGGAGACACAGAATTTCGCCCGGTGCGATCGACAGACTCAGATCGCGTACAGACATGACACCATCATAGTCGTGCGAAATGTTCTCAAACACCAGACCGGCTGCAATGGTCGCGCCGGCGGTTCCCGGCGCGCCCCAGCTCAACTGGTGTCCGTTTCCATTGGACGGCAGCGACGTATCTTTCTGTGGCATCAAGCTCCGGCGGTCTCTTCCGCATCTTCGTCAAAGAGAGACCCGTCTTCTAATGGATCTTCGTCCTCCGTCAAAGTCACTTCATCGTTCGGTGTGGGAACGATGAAGGATGCCGGCACGGCACTGTCCAGCAAGCCAGCGCCCTTCAACTCTTCAAGGCCGGGAAGATCCCGGACATTCTCGAGACCAAAATGGACCAGGAACTGCTCGGTGGTTCCATATGTCACAGGTCGCCCAGGTGTGCGCCGGCGCCCGCGCATCCGGATCCAGGTGGTTTCCAGCAACACGTCCAGCGTGCCCTTGGAGGTTGAGACGCCGCGTATTTCCTCTATTTCCGCCCGTGTCACCGGCTGGTGGTATGCGATGATGGCAAGTGTCTCCAGAGCCGCGCGGGACAGCTTGCGTTGCTCTTCGACATTTCGGTGCATCAGATAGGCAAGATCCTCGGCGGTGCGAAAGCACCATTTGCCGGCGACCTTGACCAGATTGACGCCGCGCGGTGCATAAAGCGCCTGCAACTGGTCAAGCAACCCCAGCACATCCGTGCCTTCAGGAACCCTGAGCGTCAATTCTTCTAGCGACAGCGGCTCGGACGATGCAAACAGCAGTGCCTCGATCATCCGCAAGCCGGTCAAATCGTCCGCTGATCCGCCGGCTTTTCTCAGATTTGGATCGACGAGGTCGAGACGGTCGGTGTCAGACGTCATCGCCCTCTTCCTCTTCCTTCACGATGGAGCGAATATAAACCGGTGAAAACGCTTCACCTTGCCGGATTTCCACCTGACCCTCGCGAACCATCTCCAGACTGGCGGAAAAGGTACTGGCGACAATTGTTGCCCAATCCTTGTTGTCATAGAGGTATTCGCGCAAATACGCATTCAAAGGCGCCCACTCGCTTACCCGGCCAACCAGCCTCATCAGCAGTTCTCGTGCCTCCTGCAACGACCAAACCGTTCTTCTCAGCACCCTCACAGACGTGACCGACTGCCTTTGCCTCTGTGTCGCATAAGCTGACAGAAGGTCGTAGACGGACGCATCCCATATGCTTTTGTGCTGAACGGACATCGTTTCAGGAGCGCCACGATGGAATACCTCGCGGCCCTGACGGTAGCGGTTCATCAGTTTTTCGGAGACTTCCCGCATTGCCTCGAGACGACGCAACCGAAATGCCAGCGCAGCGGCAAGTTCTTCACCTGTCGGCTCGTCCTCGTCCCGCTGTTCGGGCAGAAGCAGCTTGGACTTCAGGAAGGCGAGCCACGCAGCCATCACAAGGTAATCCGCCGCCAGCTCCAGGCGCATCCTGCGGGCCTCAGCCACAAACTCTAGATACTGTTCGACCAGTTCCAGGATAGAGATGCGTGCCAGGTCGACTTTCTGCGTGCGTGCGAGGCCGAGCAACAGATCGAGCGGACCTTCGAATCCATCAACATCGACGACAAGCTGCGGATCCGTTGTGGCGCGCTGTTCAACAGAATTGACGGTGCTCAACAGGTCATAAGAGCCGTCATCTGCAATCTGCCTATGGGTTTCCAATTCCGCCATTCACGCTCCGGTCAAGCACCCTGCCACCCGGTCAATGTACAAAACTCATCCCAGGCAGTTTTTTCGTCAAAGCCGGGTGCCGGCGCCTTCAACTCGTTCAACGCTTGCGCGCACCTGCGTTCAGCCTCACCAGCAAGGTGCGGCACAGATTCGGCAACAGCTAACATTTCGTCCATATCACCGTTGCAATGCAGAACAATATCACAGCCTGCCTCGACTATTTTCCGGGACCGTTCGACAAAGTCACCTCCGAGTGCTTTCATCGATATGTCGTCGCTCATCAGGCAGCCATCAAATCCGATTTCCTTCCGGATAATATCCTGAACTACTTTCTTGCTCTGTGTTCCTGCCGTTTCCGGATCGATCCCTTCGTACACAATATGGGCAGTCATACCCAATGACACGCTAGAAAGTGCCTTGAAGGGCCGGAAATCCACGCTTTTCAGCTCCAAAAGACCTGCTTCCACCCTGGGAAGCTCAAGATGACTGTCGACGCGTGCGCGACCGTGCCCCGGGATGTGCTTTATGACAGGAAGCACCCCTCCCGCTCTTGCCCCGTCAATCATGGCCCGGCCAAGTGTCGCAACGGTTTCCGGAT